CTGCCTGAATAGACCTGACCTGATGCAGTGCTAGTCCAGCAAGGGGAGGCTGCTGGGGCTGGGAAAGTGAAATATCCCACAGAGACAGAAAGGAGGTGCATTGGGTGAATGCGTAGGATCACAGGAAAAGCAAATACATGGGCCATAAGTACTGTTATTTCCAAAGGCACACAAAAATCTCCCCTGTATTCATTCTGGCACAAGGATTTTGGGTGCTCAGTCTCTGGGCCATCAGCACAGGATGTGTTTCAGAGGGTGGTATAAAATAGCCCTTCTTAAGCAGCAAGGTTATTTTGAAGTAACTTAAAAATGGACGTTCCCTGAATCCCAGCTCTCTTCTGCAAATCAGGCATTCCTAATTGGCTCCATACACTTGTGATGACCGTGGCTTCTGTCTTTTAGGAACTGATTCAGACGAAACCTCCAGCAGCCAAGCGAAGTCCACTTGTTTGTGAATATCAGGTGAGGAAGTTTTGCTCAGGGCATAGGAAGTGCTGAAATTGTCGCATCTTGCAAAATAGTTTACCTAAAGAATCCAAAATATGGCAAAGCTCAAACTGTAACATGGTTCCTTTGCAACAGAATCATCTGGAATTAAATGCCTGTTTCTCCTAGAGGAGAAATTAGGTTTTTCTCCTATCTTTGCAGTGGGACACTGCACCCCAAGGGAAGGTGTCTCAAGGCATGATGTCGACTCCAGCACTGCATCACTATGCGAAGGTAAAAAGTTAATAACCAGATTTGAAGTGTTGGCCTGGAAGCAAATTGCAGTGGTGGGAAATTGGCATGAGAAGTGATAGGTAAGCTTAGAAATCCTTGTCTTTCTGCTGATTTAGCTTTTAGAGGCTGGCATTTGTGAATGCAGCCCATTGAATAGCAGCACTGTAGTGTATTGGTCTGTAACAGAGATGTGGGATCAAGTTGTGGATGACTGGCAGAACCTTCTGTCCGATTTTTCCCAGATACACAAAATATGCCCTTTAGGTCTCCTCCTATTCTTCCTCCTTGACAGCGAGAATTATGGATGAAGTTGCCAGCCCCAGCTTTAAATGTCCTGTTGCATGTTGTTTTGTAGGATATCCGTGCAAATGGAAAACGCTTTGGTTTGTGGAGTATTCAGGAGGCTAAGCAATGAATTCGAACATAAATCCATTTTACCTTTCATAGGTGGGCAGAATCCTTTCAGTCACTTCTAAAGCTGGCACTCAGAAGGGAGTCCCCAAAGCTGGTATTGCTACTGAATTTGTAAGGTCAAACTGCAACCCCAGGGGAGGAGGAGAGAACCATTTAAAACCGAGGCCCTCAGTGCCATGGGTTAGTGATGGCCTTGGCAGTGCTGGGGAGCGGTTGGACTGGCTGAGCTTAAAGGTCTCTTTTCCAACCTGGTTGATTCTGTGATTTGTGTGAAAGGTTTAATGAAAAGAGAAAAACCCCCTAGGGAGAGCTGCTTTGCTGGGGATAGTAGTTTAAAAACCAACCAAACAACCTCCAAGACCCCAAACTAAGCCCTTTTTGCAAGAAACAGCTTGGGAGCAGTGCTCTCTTCTCCCTGACCCCACAATGGAAAAGGGGCTGGTTCAATGCAGAAGGGAGAGAGGGGAAAGAAAACAACCAACATCAACACATGCACAGTCAGTGGGGTTTAAAATCCTCCTTCATTGTGGTTTCAGCAGCAGAGGAGACGTTGGTGACCATGGAGGGAGGAGAGCTTTCCCACAGTCCCTGACCCAGCATCCCTCCCGCGTGGGACCCATCCTGCTCCCCTTCACAGGCCCTTTGACAATTGCACCTTTCCACGAGGGGTTTCCAGGCGTTGCTCAGTCCGTAACCTTTGTGTGCTTCCTGCAGAACAAGCTCTTAAATTGTACTTTATCAAAAAGGCCCAGAAATTTGATAGGGGAGATGAGAAGATGGGCACGATCAGGGAGGATAATGCCGAGGAACTGTCACTTTGCTGGCTCTAGCTTTGTTGGCCCTCCTGCTTTCTGAGATAAAGACACAGCAGCTGGCCTGATGCTGTATCAAAAGGCTGATTTGATTGCTTGATTATATATGAAATATAGATTTAAAGCTTAACTTATGTTCCCAAAAGCGAATCAGTCACAGGGGAAAACCTGACACATTTGTTATGATCTCTAAAGAGCTTTGCTGGGCTTGTTGATGCTCATAGTGGCTGGAGGGGCTTTAAAAAGCTGTTTGGATCCAGTTCACTGAAATCTTACCTGGTCAGAGTTTATTTATAAATTTATTAATAACAAGATAGGGTGGGAATAGTTTTCTCTCTGCTCTCCTTCTACCCCTGAGCTTCAGGAGCTGCCTCTAAGGGAGTCAAATCTTCTTTGATCTGTTAGAAAGGGAAAGAGGCAGAAAAAGTCCCAGAGGTCCCATCTGGAAAGGCTCTGATTTAGCCAAGTGCTTCAGTTCGTCTGAAGACAGCCTTCTTCAGCTCCTTGGGTAAATGTTTTGCTGGATCTGCTGCTTTAGGCTTCGCTCCTGGCAATCAGAGTATGTGAGACCTAAAGTAAAGCTGCTCTAATGTGACTGAATGTTATTGGTACCCACACGAGCTCTTGGAGAACAACTTGGGGCATCACTGTGGGTACTGTAGGAAGAGAAGCTGTGGCTGCCCCATCCCTGGCAGTGTTCAAGGCCAGGTTGGATGGGGCTTGGAGCAAGCTGCTCTAGTGGAAGGGGTCCCTGCCTGTGGCAGGGGGTGGAGCTGGAGGAGCTTTAAGGTCTCTTCCAACCCAAACCTGTCTGTGATGAAAGCACAGTTCAGGGGCTGTGGACCTTTGTCATATCCACTGCCCCTCACTGTGTGTTTGCCAGGCTCGCACCATCCTGCCTCTGGGGCTTGTCTTGTCACGGATGACACACACATGCTCACACAAAGAAAACCCTGGCAATCTCTTTCTGCAAAAGCCTCGCTGCTTCCAGGGGGAAGGAGTGCAAAGTAATTTGATGCCTTCATTATCTTCATAACATGAACCAATTTGTCAGCAAACTACTGTGCGGCTTGATTCCCGATTGCGGAGAAAACCAGGCTGGGAGAGAGGACGATTATTTGCACCTAGTTTGAGCATTGTTCTTTTTCAGAGGGGTATAAATACACTGTGTAGAGCTGGCTCATTAGAAACTTATCCGTTTGTATTTATGGTTTAATTAAATAACTGCAGGGGAAGACTTGGGTTTCTAATCACAAGAACAATAACGGGTTTGCCCTCCTTATGGCGGCTTGTCTGAGGAAGGCTTTGTAGGCACCAGTGCATTTAACCTGTCAGCTCCCAGCCCTTGATGGGGAGAAGAAAATAAAACCTTTAGGCTGCATTGTACAGATGGGGGGACCTGGTTACCGGTTATCCTGGTTACTGACTTCTTGTGAGAACACTTGGTTTTCTGCCTGAGAAGCAGGGCTGCGAGGGTGGTGTGAGTCATGGCAGCTCTTTGCTTCTAAAGAGAGAATCCCCTACAGAGCCTCGTAAGAGCCACTTTCACCTCCCTTCTTGGTTTATTACAAATTCCAGGCTTAGACCAGCTTTGCAGTTACCATGAGTCTTGTTTGGGGTTATATTGTTGTAGATATGGGAGAGGTTTGCTTGTCATGGCTTTGATTTTAACCTAGAGGGGAAGGATGCAATGGACTGGGTATGATTCCTCTGGATGAGCCCCTGCACAGTGTCCTGGGGGTGACCTTCTATGGGGCAGGGGCTGCCTGCTGTGCTAGGTGTAGGGCAGATGAGAGGTGGGTTGCAACCCACCAGCAAAGCTGCAGCCAAGGTGGCTAACCCTCTGCCTGTCTCTGAAGATGATCCCTAGTCTGGTGTTAATGTTCTGTTCTGGTGTTGTCTTCAGACATAGCAAACCCTGTAGGATTCTTACCACCCCATATTTCCCATTATAACAATTCCACAAAAGGTTTGCTTTGAGTTTTTGATGGGGGAGAGTCTATGTCATGGCTCTGAGTGGAGGTGAGCATAAAGGTAGGCTTTCTGTGTCTGCCCACTCCTTCTCCTCTTGCATTATCTCACCTCTGTGATCTTGAGCTGGACAGAGCACAGAAGGGTGGGTGAGATCTTCAGACATCCATCGCTAGCCAGTGCTTTCCCTTTAAGGCTGAATTTTCCCTCTAAAAAGTTGGGGGAAACCTAAAGAAGCTGCCTGTTGCTTGGAGAATAGAGAGGACGAGCTCTTTGACATGATATTTTGTTATTTCTAATCCCTATGGTAGCTGCTGTTTTTATTTCTTACTCTCTTCCGTGTTTAATGTGGTCCCTTAAATTGCCTAAGCTCCTTTTTCTTCAACTCGGTTAAATCAGATTCCCCATACCCTGAAATATAAAATACATGGAGGTTTTCTCTAAAGCATCGTTTATGCATATAATTCCCTCTCTGCATTCCTGTGCTAGAGTCAAGCACTGCATATCTGATTGGGCTCTTAATGACTTTTGGGAATCATTTAAATATCTAGCTGACGAGCCCAGTTAATAATCAAAGCCGCAGCTCCTTGAAGCAGGAATGACTCATGGAGGAAGAAGAAAGCTTCTGGTGATTTTGCAGCCTCCTCCTGCCCATCACCGCAGTGCAGCTCCGAAGGGCACGGCGCTATCAGATGTTCCCAGGCAAGGTGCACCCGTTCTCTGCTGCTCTCCGCACATGTTCAGGTGGTGCAGGCTGCCAGCTCGGCTCCCGAACATCTGCTGCCTGCGCATCCCGCTGCCGGGAGCTCGCTGGAGCTTGGAGACGAAGCAGATCAGGGGCAAATGTGGTGTTTGAATTGCAGATGTTTCAGGGGGGTGATGGGGTGGGGGGGGTGACATAACCCTCACGTTTTGCACTGGGGATAGGACTGGTGCTGGTGGCTCTATCTGTGAATGGATCGGGAAACAGTGAACACTGGGATTTGCCTCTGGGATTGCTGATCTAATTCACTGCGTCCTTCCCCAAATGACTGCTACTCTACCTGTTGGAGCCAGTCCAGAGGAGGCTACAAAGATGCTCCAAGGGCTGGAGCAGCCTCTGCCCTGGAGCCAGGCTGAGAGAGCTGGGCTGGGTCAGCCTGGAGAAGCAAAGGTTCCTTAAGGGGAGACCTTAGAGCAGCTCCAGTGCCTGAAGGGGCTGCAGGAAACCTGGAGAGGGGCTTTGGACAAGGGTTTGTAGGGACAGGCCAAGGGGAATGGCTTTAACCTGCCCGAGGGGAGACTGAGATGAGCTCTTAGGCAGAAGCTCTTCCCTGTGAGGGTGCTGAGGCGCTGGCACAGGGTGCCCAGAGAAGCTGTGGCTGCCCCATCCCTGGGTTACTGTCACACGCTGCTCCTGCTGACTGTACTGGAGGCAGACAAATCCCTTCTTTAGTGATGGGAAAACAGTAATTAGTGTATGTTTCCTCTTCTCTTGCACCCCAGGGTCACTCTGCTGAGCACTAGCACAATGTTAGGACTACCTTTGGCATCTCTGTGTTCTCTTCTGCGTCCTGAACGGCAGTATTCACTGACACATGCTGCTTCTCTGATTTATGAATCAAGATATATTTCACCAGAGAGAATGAGTGCCCGGGGGAGGAGAGTAGGGCTTTGATCTGACTGTGCTTTTGAAATGTGACTGGAAAATCAGAATTAGATGGTAATCTCTTTGGGGCAGGGACATCTTTGTTTGCCCTGTACAGTGCCTACTGTGCTTTGGGTGCCATGTTATCGACAGCAGAGGTTGAGTAATGAGTGATGCTCCCAAACTGTATCTGTTGACCCAGCCATTGAGCAGCTGTTCTCATCCTATAATTAATAGCGTGCTTTGATTTCTTTTCCCTGCTTCTCATCTCTGTAGTAACTGGACTTTGCTGGGCTCTTGGATCGTAGGTGGGATGGATCTGCTGCCCAGCCTTTGACTGGGGTTTTATGCTGTGGGCAGCTCTGCATGTGCTATGTGAGCTCATCCATCCTGGTGGGACACTGGCACAGGCTGCCCAGAGAAGCTTGGTTGTTAATTCCCTGCCCTGTATTAAAGGTTTTCAGTGGGGACAGCGCAGCAGGTGATGCCCTGTCTGCATCCCTGCATAACTGCTCTTTCCTCAGCTCCCAAAGCAGCACTGTGCATAATGGTTTCACCAAGCCTTTGTTGTCACTGGTACTAAAAAATCCTGGTTTAATTTATAACCATTGCATTTGAGGGGGAAACTTGCCTTGTCATTACAGAGAAAGAGGAAGGAAAGGATGCTCGAGGTGTGATTGTTGTGATTCCTAAATAAGTAATGGGGTTTGATGTTGAGGGCTTCCATCTCCTACACTGTGTATGTGGCTCTGCTTTGTAAGGTGAAGATGTGCTTTCTGTGTTCTGTACCTGGTGGCTCAGACTTGAGACAGTGACTTCCATAGTCTCAACAGTTGCGTTGTATGGCTTTGGGATCCAGGGCTGCCCCTCTCCAGGACACCCTGTTGCAGCGGAGAGGCTCTTCACCTTGAAGAGAGAGAAGAGGGCTTTCAGATTGTTTGAACTGAACTGGCTGTGAAATGCAGTCCTTGTGGAAACTCCTTAAAGAGGTTTGTTTCCCCATCTGTCGTGGTGAGATGCAGGAGCACTTTTGAGCAATTCTGCTTTCCTAAGAGTAAATTGGGGTTGAGAGAGAGGCAGAAAAGATGCCTTTTTGAGACCCATCAAGCTATGAGTTAAAGCTGAGGTACACTTGGGTGATGTCTCCAGCTCAGTTGCCTCTAGGTGCTTTGCTCTGAAATAGGACATGATGTGTCTCATTTCAGATGGGCTACTGAGCTGCGTCCTGCAATACTCCCCTAATTGTCTTGATTCTCCAGCTGCAAAGATCCATTAGCACAGACAGAAGTTTCTTGCCTTCCCAGCCAGGGAGAAAAAGGCAAAGGAGGTATGGAAGGGAGGGGGGAGAGCTCAGAAGGAGACTTTGCTGGCAGATGACTGCAGTGAATCTCACAGCCCCATTTAGCACATCCATCTTTCCAGAGTAGCTGATGGCACATGTGAAATGCAGCAAGTCCTGGGGCTATTGTGTAACTTGGGGGATGCCTGCAGCCGCTGCTCATAATTAATCATTTAAGCACCAGTAAAATCAAGTGACTTTCCTGACGGTACCCAAACTGCTGACCTCAATGCATTTCAAAAGTTCGCTGGATGCTGAACCTCGGATGACCCATGGATGGATCTGGAATAATAATTTTCATAATCCTCAAGTCATTATCTTAAGAGGGAATGTATTGTTCTCCTAATTAAGTCCATCCACACACTGTGCAGCTTCCCATGCAAATGCACTGTGCATAAACTAATTAAAAGAAATATACAGCCACAAGGACTTAAACTGCCTTTCATGCAATCTCTTTAAATTAGAAGGAGTCTCCCTCCTCCCCCCCTCACACACACACACTCTAACAAGGGATTCGGCACCATATTCAGCAGGGAAAACCACCGAGCATTTTGGATCAGAATCTGGAATTCCCCAAAATTTATTAGAAAGCTTTTGTTTTATGACATTTTTGCGAGGGCCCTGGATGTGTAGAAGACCCAAATTAAGTGAGAGTTATGATCATTTAATAGGAGACAGTCCCTGCCCTAAAGAGCTCACAGCCTAAACAGACAAGACAGCCAAGAGCTGGAAGAGCCTTTTTAGCAGTTAAACAGCTCAGCCATTGAGGAGTTGAATGACTTTTTCAAGGTCATGCATACAGAGCTGGGAACTGGAGGCAGACCTGGACCAGCAGTGGATGTACCCGAGTCTCCTGCCTTTAGCAATACACCTAAAAGATGTGATCTGTAGAAACTTCTTTAATGCAACAACACTGAAGGGCAATTTCCCAGTGGAACTGAAGGGTGTTTGGTTAACTGGGGGCTGGCTATTGGACTGCTTGGCTGTATTCAGTAGTTATTTCCTGTTCTCAGTGTGGTGGAGGCTGTGCCACTGGAAAGCAATGGGCTGGAAGCCTCTATTTGTGTTTGGTTGTGGCAAGGATGTGAATGAAGCAAGTTGAAGCTTCATTCATTTATTGTCAGGGTCAGCCTTCCTGCTGTAATTTCCCTCGAGAATACTGCTGACATTGCCTTGGGCTTCTGCTTTGCAGAAGAGGAGTGGAATGTGTCTTGGATGTGTCCTTCTTGCTGGTTTCACTCCTCGTGTAGGATGATTGGTGTCTGCAGGTATGCAGGAGCACTGTGGTGTTACTGCTTGTTCTCCTCCTGTAGGAAATCAACAGCAACTTCAGTATTGTGTCTAAATATAGATAATATATGTTCAAACATATCACCCTAGTCTCCACGATGATAGCAGGGAGAGGTGTCGGTACATCTTAACGTGCTAGATTGGGGGTAGCTTAAACCAGTGGGTGTGCCAGCAAAAGGTAACTTGGGTTTTTGCCTTGCTCAGACTTTCTCCCACAAATACCTTGCTTGGCTGCTGCGGTTATGAGATACTCCAGACAAAGCCCGGCGCGTGTGAGATGGGGCAACAACCTTGTAAACTGAATCTGAGTTTAATGATGGAGCATCTCGGTGTTTTCACCGGTCTGAGTGGTCTTCAGAACGTTGGTGGTACAGAGATTGGCATTTGCAAATCTCGCGTGATGGTGAACCTGCTGTGCACAAAGACCATGAATGACAGGCCACAGGTTACAGGTCACATAGCAAAGGAGCAGTTTGTGAGCAGTCTGATCTGAGCAAAGTACCCACACAAAGAAGCTGGTATTTCGCCGAGGTGAACTGAGTCAATGCAGCCATGCCCACCGACAAGGGAGGACACGGCAGCAACCATGCAGCTTTGATCCACAGGTTGGAATAGTGTCAGCTAGATGCTAGATGAAGATGGGCTGTGTAGCTCACAGCCCTGCAGAAGCCTTTAAGTTCTGCCAAACAGACACTAGTTGGTGCCTGCATCATCTGAACGAGTGACATCTGCAATTATTGAGGCAATAGAGGAGCAAGTTGCAGAAACAGCACATTAGTGTGTGAATGCCATCCACAGGGGGACTAGTCCAGGGAGAAGTGGCAACCAAGCTGTCAACAGCCCGGCCATGGCTGGATAGGAATTTGCACACGAGTTTTGGGAAAACAGAGGATTTCCTCGCTGTTGTTTGTAGTGGGTGTTTATAGGTGCAAAGTGGAAGAAGAAATTTCCTCAGCCTGGTCTTGATTACTGTCTCATTTTGCATGTGGCAGGTTTCCTGGCAGCATCCCTACCAATGCAGCAGTCATCGGAAAAGGAGGGTGGCAAAGAGCTGGGATCCACCCGGAGGCCCCTGCAGCATGGGTTCAGAACCGGAGCGAACAGGCAGTTCTCTTATCTGATGTAGCCTGGAGAGCAGACAGATAGGACTGCAGCAATCAGTATGATGGGAATGTGGTGGGTGGACTCTACCAAGAGAAAAGAAACCCTCCCCTCTATGGATGAGCCTTCATCTCTGTTTCCCCTCTCCAGTCCTCATTCCGGTAAGAGGGAGGATCTTTTCCCCATCTAGCAATGAGATGAAAGAGTGCCCCCCATTTGACACTTCATGAGTTGGCTGAACCTACAAAATGATCTTCATAAAATCCTGATTCCAAAGCATCAAAGCCTTTTCCTGACTGGTAAAAACCCTAAAAATTCCTGGAAGAACTGCCAAAGGGCAATGGGGCTGATTCTGTCAACTGCCTTTGGTTAGAGCTGGGTTTGGTTATTTATGGGGGCTGGGGGAGGCAAGAACTTTCCAGATGGGCGGCTGAACCAAATATAACAATGATAAAAATCAATGCAGTTATGTGAAGGGAAAAGAATGCCTGTGCTGAAGGGCTGCTTGAGGCACACGCTTCTCTGTGTGAGACATCCCTCAGCACCGTGCTGCTTGTGACATCCCACCCTGTGCTGCTCCATCCCTGTGTGCTGCACAGGCACCTCCTCCATGCCTGCTGAAAAGCAGCCTTTGCTGGGAGGATGCTGGCTGGATTTAGTGGTGCAAAATCATCTGAGTTCTCAAGTCATCCTGAAGTATTAATTCTGATTGCTGAGAGCCCTGTTGGTGTGTGTGGCATTGCACAGAGCGAAAACTCTGTCCCTTCTCCAAAGGCGTCGCAGTCTAGGCATACATGGCAGGAGAAAGCATAAGAAAGGCAAAGCATATGGGATTGGGACTGATTGACCTTTGTATGCATCCAAGAATAGAGGAGGATTCAGTAATTCCTTCAAGAAGGAAGCTTGCTTGCCATCTACTTAGTGAAGAAGCATGCTGAGTGGTGCAAGTGGGAAAATGGCTGGGAGTCAGGACTGTGTGGAAGACATGAAATATCTGCTGAGAAAGGAAATCTGCTGGAGAGGGTTGGAGTTGGTGACTGCAAACTGCCTTTTGGCTGAGAGTGCCATTGGGTTTCCTATGTTAGTGAAGTTTGGGATGCCTGCATGGGCTGTTAATTATCCAGTCCATTATCAGCACTTTCTTTGTGTGATCTTTGTTTTTGGAGGTGTCCCCTCGTGGAAACCCCTCAGTACTGTCATGGAAAGGATATGTAAGAAATTGTCCCTTGGGCAATGCTTTCTTTCTACTGGGTCCTTTTCTACTTCTTTCACTCTGGTATTTGCACTCTCAGCCTCACCTGCTGACCAATATGCATTTATACTGTTGAAAGGGTGGTGAGGCTTAGCCTGCTGAGGTTGCTGTCCATCATTGCAGTGAATTCCAGCTCTCTAGGTAAGTCTAATGAAATTGGGGGAATTAGTCTGTCTTATCCAACCAGCAGAGCCCTATTCAATTGGGTTTCTTTGTTTAGGTGGTGTTCTACATCAGTCTGTGGTCCCATCAGTTGCCCTTCACCAGCCGGCTGTCTTGTGGGAGCCCAGCCCTGACCACAGCCATCAGTCAAGGAAGGTGCTGGCTCCTCTCCCTGCTCCTCAACCAGGGTTGGACCCTCCCTGCAGCAAGAGATGCCTGGGATGAGGTGAGTGGTTTGTTTGCTCATGAGATGGCAGGACCCTTGTTCCTCGTTAAAGGCACCTGAGATAAGAGATGTCATTGATGTTTCAAGGTGTTCTTATCACAGGCCTTAGTCTGAAATGACACTGTTCATCCACGCTTTCTCTCCAGCTTATTGATGAAGAGAATTTTTTCCTGTTGTCTCCAGCCTCTGGAAAGCCCTTAGACAAAAGAATTTTTCAGACACATCATTTCCTTCTGTGAATCAAACTCTACCCCCTTAATGTTCAGCAAATAATTTGTTCCAAAGGGACCGCGTTGTAGGTGATCGTAATTACATTTGGTTTTTAATAATCATAAACACTCCTGTTTTCTGAGGACCAGCAAAACTGATTTCCAAATCATTTAGTTTGAATGGCATGTTTTGTGTTTGTGTCGCATCTTCTCCCCCGTCCGCACTTCTAAAGGAAAACAAACAATGTATTAAAAAAGAAAAGAAAAGCAAGTGTGGGCAGGAAAAAAAACCTTGGAGAACTTTAAAAGACTCTGAACCTGAAAAGGGAGGGTGGGATCAGCTAATTTGTCCCTCTTTTGTATGGTTTATTAAGCCTTTTGTTCTGGAACGCATGGGTTCAGTGGGAAAGCGGTTTTTGATATATAATGTATTTACTTTTGCTAATTAATTAAAGCAGTATTCATATGAAAATGCCGACTGATAATGGCTTTCACAGCAACAACTGTGTTTTTTAAAGTAGCAACTTTTAATTACAAATTGACTGGCAGAAATATATAAACCCAAATATTGTTCCACTGATTTCCTTTTAACTGTGTTACTCTTGCTTGATTTATCGGATTAGGGCTTTTCACACATAGTGCGTACAAGATATTGTTTTTAATGAGAAATTAAAAGATTACCAACAATACCCATAAACCATTAAAAACACGAACTCCAGATGAATGGTAATTAGACAGAATGATTTGAGGCTGATAAATTGAAAGCAATTAATGTGTTTGTTTGGGATTCTGAAGATAGCTCTGAGTGTTCCAGCAGGCACTGAAGGGTTCAGATTTGGTGCTGAAATGCATGTGGGGATACTTGCACTGCTTCAAATGTCCAGGGCAGCAGTGGAGAAGATGCTGACAGGGTTCCGCTGGGCTTTGGGAAGGGGGAGAGGTGAGGAGTGATGTGAAGGGGTTTTATGGGGAGGGCTAAAGGGGTACATCAGAGCAGGCTTCCTTGGGTCAAATCTTTCCTATGTTTCACTGCTACCTGTGACATAACGTAAGGGAAGACTTGAGGAGGTAAGAGGGGAGAAAGTGCTGAGGAGAAGTAAAGGTTTCTCATCTGTGGTTTATCAGGTTTGCATCTTCTGCTCAGTTTGAGCAGCACCGCGTCAGTGAGCCTGTGTGAGATGTTCTTTTCTGGGAGACGAGGAGGTTGCATTTGTTAGTGGTGCCCTGTAAGCCCATCAAGAGCGTCCTGTTTCTGTTCTTTCTCTTATCCTTGGCAAAGTGAATGTTTTGGGATTCTATTTCAGCAAAAGGAAGTGGTGATGCCTTTTGATATTGTTCCTTGTACTTGGGTCTAGAACAGAGCTCGCCATGATTTCCCATCTCAGGAGAGTTTCCTAGGACAAGGAAAATAGCCAAAATCAAGTAATTCCCTAACTCAGGATAGTGATGTCTCGTCTCAAAAATCCTAAACCAAATAGCCCTCCCCACCCCAAACCCTAAAGCCTCAGGTGACTTGTGATGTGAACAACTGAAACATCCCATTTCAATTGTTACTGGTTTTAATTTCAACTCTTGCCCAAGTATAAATTAAACAAAATATGGCAATGAGGAGTCATGACAAAGGAAAACCTGAAACCTTTTCCCCGTTTCCCCCCACGTCAGGAATATCCATCAGAATCAGCCCTTTCTCACCCAGTTTTTCTTGTGATAATTTGGCATTTCTGATGGGGGGGGGTTGGGGTATTTTTAATGAAGAAAAAAATCTTGACATGGAATTCTGCATGTGGAGCTCCCTTCTCCTCCATCGGTTTCTCTCTCTATTCCAATCCCTCCTTTAGATGTGTTCCTTCCATGAGTCTTTTCAATCCTTATCCACTGTAGAAAGAAATGCATTATTTAACAAGGCAAGAGAACAGTGTGTGCCCTTCACGTTTAACCATCAGCTGCTGGCATCTTTGAGGAACCAGGTTTTCAAAGGAGCTCAAGTTCTTAAAAGCACTTAACAGAGTGGATGCTGGTGGTGCCCAGTTCTACTGAAACCCTGGTCCTCATGTTCCTAGTAGGAACAGTTGGACTGAACCAGATACTTTTTTCAGGCTTTCCCTGGAAAACTCATGTTCTCTATGGAAACTCTGTGGCTTGTCAGACTTAGGTCCCAATTCTTTCACTTGACTGTCTTTCAAGCATGCTTATCTTGTCCTGTGGGTGCTCTGAAGCTTACATTTACAGGAGCCCTGTTTTCTGTCCCTGTGGCTCCATCCCTGCACAGCACACTGTGACCCTCATGGGGTGATCTGTTACAGCTCTCCCTCATCCTACTCCTCCAGCCATGGTTGGTTGCAGGGAAAGTCTGTGTGTTAGCTAAGTGTGTCTTGCTTCTAGAGATGAACTGGACAAGGTACCACTTCACCAAGGGGAACACCTGCTGGTTGTTGCCCCCACTGTGAAGTAACGACTTGGGCATCTCATAAAGTGTTTTTCACTCCTTGTGCACCCGTTCAGCCATCACATTAACAAAAAAAAAGGTTCTTGGAGGAGCCACCAGGGACCTATTGCAAAAGTTGGATACCAGTAAAATCCAGTTGTGTGTAGCAAAAGGGAAAAGCCCAATAAGGAAACAGTAATAGAAGAGCTCTATTAAAAAGGCATATGGGTACAATGCTGCTGGCCCAGTTAATGAACCTGTTCTATTCAGTAGTGCAATAAAATCCAAAGTAATTGCAAATGAAACTTAATGCCTTGTAAAGAGTTCAGCTCCATCCTTCCATAGCCACAGGTCCTGGCAACAGAGGCTGGTCCAGCAGGAGGAGGGGTGCTGAGGAACCTCTCATTGATTCTGCTCAGTGGTTTAAGGCTGTTGGAAATGTCCTGGCCCCTTTAGCGAGCCCAGCCTCTTGCAGGAGGATGTGGAGCAGGGCAGCACATGGGGAATTAGACCTCGACCCTGTGCCTGTGGGATCCTGCACATTCTGGTCTTCCCTGAAGGAGTTGCTTCAGACTGATCAGACCTGGAAGCTGATGAGGTGATGGTTGCTCTTTTCCTGTGTTCTCAAACCCCTGTGTTTCACCATCATTCTGACTAGAGTGGTGGGCTCAAAAACCCTGCAAGAGCAAGGCAGAGGAGTCCTCCTAACCTTGCTTGTGTGTGTATTCCTGCTGGGCTTTGGTCCTGACTTTTTACAGTATGTGATTCCTGCCTGCTCCAAGCAACCTCCATTTGTTTGGGGAAAATAGACTGATGATTTTGCTCCCTATTGCAGATTTTGGATAACAGTTTCCTCAAGTCGCAGGGCTCTCTCTGTCTTTACTCAGCTCTCAAGTCAAACATCCTTTATGTGAATAAGAAGTATGTAGGAGGGAGGATTTGCAGCACCAGCATTTTCGGGTGAGGATAGTGATATTTTTTGGTTGTTTAGTGCCAGTCTTTGGGAATGAAATAACTGCTCAAGAATCTGAGCTTCATTTCAAAGGCATGTTTCTAGTCTTCATGTCTGTGTGGACTCCACCCCCCGTGTAATTTGAAAGTGTGACTTGGTTATGCCTGAAAGGCTCCGGATCCAGAAGGCAGAGGAAAAATAACCCAAAGCTGATTGTTATTAAAAACAAAGAGCACCACCCCCTCCCAAGCTGCTGGTATTTGAATTCCTGGGTTTGCACTGCTGGTTTAGGGCCAAGGGAACAGGAGGCAGGTAGGAGCCTGACTCACGTTGAGTCAGAAGCAAGAACCTGGCAGTTTGCTTGCAAATGGCCCGAGCCTGGTGATCCTGGTGAGCAAGCACCCACAAAAAGGGGTGAGCAAGGACAGGGTGAGTGCCAGGGAAGGGAATGCCAGCCCATAGAGAGAGTCCTTCCTGCTACCACCCACCCACCAACCTCATTTTTCAGGAGGTAAGTATCAGTCCTGCAAAGGGTGATATCCCCTCCTGCTCCTCCTTTACTAATCAGGTTTTCAGATAATTTGCAATGCTTCGTTTCCCCACGTGAATTGACTATAGGTGGTAGATAAAGCTGCAAATGGCCCTTTTTAAGTTCAAATGATGGTTCAAGCCGTACATTCCTCAGTTAAAAATGTGCAGTGTCCTCCTTTCCTGGCATGTGCTGGCAGAAGTCATGGGGTGTACTCTGAGAAATAGCCCCCGCTTGCTTTATTGTTGCTCTTTCCTTCCTCTGATGGCATGAGTCAGGGGCACTGTCAGCCTTTGAGCTCACAGCATCTCCCTTTCGGCAGCCAGCCTGCCTGCCCGGGACATTGTTTGAGCTGTGCCATGCTGTAGGGTTCATCTTGATGCTCTGAGGTGGACAATAAAGGGGCAAATTTCTGAAATCCTAGTGGGATTTCTAGGGGAACTTCCTTCCCCCTTTCTCCCCTCGAGAGGAAGCAGCCTCCTGCACACTCACCAGCCCACTGCTCTTCTGACAGGGTTAGGGCTGGCGCCCTTTATGAGCTTCCTGCATATCCATAGGTTGGACTTGGCTTCTCTCAAGGTTCTTGTTGAAATTGGTCCAACGCTTTATCCTCGCATCCGCTGCGCACATGAATTCCTTAGTGTCATAAGTTGGTTAAGATCCATGCGAGCCGTGGCACCTCTCTGTCTTTGCCCCTTTTCCCACCCCTGTGAAAAATGTGTGGTGGTGTAAATAGAGGCAAAGGCAAATATATACAAGGTGGGGAGCCTTAGTGATGTGGAACTGAGAGATGAGGGCAGCAGAAACATAGTCTGTGGAAGCCTAGTATGGTTTTTGATACTGAAATGCAAGACTGGCCCTTAAAGCTGGATGTGAAGTCTGCTG